GGGAGGAGGAGAAGGGGGTAGGAGGAAGGGGGAGGAGGGGGAGGAGGAGGAGGGAGGAGGGAGGAAGGAGGAGGAGGGGGAGGACGAGGGTGAGGTCAGAGGAGGAGGGGGAGGAGGAGGCGGAGGGTGAGGAGGAGGAGCTAGGAGGAAGAGGAAATACAGAGGAGGGAAGGAGGGGGAGGAGGAAGGAGGAGGAGGAGGAGGAAGGAGGGGGAAAGGAGGGGGGAGGAGGGGGAGGAGGAGGAGGGGGAGGAGGAGGAGGAAGGAGGAGGAGGAAGGAGGAGGAGGAGGAATGAGGAGGAGGGGGAGGAGGAGGAGGAAGGAGGAGGAGGAGGGGGAGGAGGAGGAGGGGGAGGAGGAGGAGGAAGGAGGAGGAGGTGGGGGAGGAGGAGGAGGAAGAAGGAGGAGGAGGAAGGAGGAGGGGGAGGAGGAGGAGGGGGAGGAAGGAGGAGGGGGAGGAGGAGGGGGGAGGAGGGTGGAAAGGAAGGGGGAGGAGGGGGAGGAGGAGGAGGAAGGAGGAGGAGGGTGAGGAGGAGGAGGGGGAGGAGGAGGAGGAAGGAGGAGGAGGAGGAAGGAGGAGGGGAAAGGAGGGGGGAGGAGGAAGGAGGAGGAGGAAGGAGGAGGAGGAGGGGGAGGAGGAGGAGGGGGAGGAGGAGGAGGGGGAGGAGGGGGAGGGGGAGGAGGAGGAGGGGGAGGAGGGGGAGGGGGAGGAGGGGGAGGAGGAGGAGGAGGAGGAAGGAGGAGGGGGAGGAGGAGGAGGAGCAGGAGGAGGAGAACAGGGAGGAGGAGGGGGAGGAGGAGGAGGAAGGAGGAGGAGGAGGGGGAGGGGGAGGAGGAGGGGGAGGTCAGAGGAGGAGGAGGAAGGAGGAGGAGGAGGGGGAGGAGGAGGAGGGGAGGAGGAGGAGGGGAGGAGGAGGAATAAAAGGAGCCGTTTCCCCCACCACATGCGATGTGCTTTGCTGCCTGACCATGTTCCCAAGCCGCCCGTCGGCCATGCTGCCCGGTGGCACCTGCTCCCGCCCCGGCCCGTGCTGACCGCAGCCCTGTTTACATCTCCCGGGTGTCACCCGGCAACGGGACCCAAACACAGCTGAGCCCCGAAGCCGAGAAGTCCCGCTTGTCAACAGGAGGGTCCTGTTTCCACAGATGGTCCCGGGCAAAGTCCCAGGCCCAGGGGTCCGAGGTGTCCCCCCCCCCCGGCTCTGCACCCCACGCGCGGAGCTCTGTGGCAGCTCACAGCTCAGCCGGGAAGTGTGGCCTGTGGACCTGACTCAGTGGGGGGTGAATGAATGACCTGTGACACCGTCACGGTGACTCAGTGGGCCACGGTGGCCACCGGCTGCCTTCAGTGGGAAACACCCACACCCTCCGTGTGTCCACGGATTTATTCACAGGGAGAAACACCCACAGCCTCCACGTGTCCACGGTTTTGTTCAGAGGGAGAAACACCCACAGCCTCCACGTGTCCACGGTTTTATTCAGAGGGAGAAACGGCCACGGCCTCCACGTGTCCACGGTTTTGTTCAGAGGGAGAAACACCCACAGCCTCCACGTGTCCACGGTTTTATTCAGAGGGAGAAACGGCCACGGCCTCCACGTGTCCACGGTTTTGTTCAGAGGGAGAAACGGCCACGGCCTCAGTGTGTCCACGGTTTTATGCACAGGGAGAAACACCCACTCCCTCCGTGTGTCCACGGGTTTATTCACAGGGAGAAACACCCACAGCCTCCACGTGTCCACGGTTTTGTTCAGAGGGAGAAACGCCCACAGCCTCCACGTGTCCACAGTTTTATTCACAGGGAGAAACACCCACAGCCTCCACGTGTCCACGGTTTTCTTCAGAGGGAGAAACACCCACAGCCTCAGTGTGTCCACGGGTTTATTCAGAGGGAGAAACACCCACAGCCTCCACGTGTCCACGGTTTTATTCATAAGGAGAAACACCCACAGCCTCTGTGTGTCCACGGTTTTGTTCAGAGGGAGAAACTCCCACACCTTTTGTGTGTCCCTCAGCGTGTGTGGATGGCACAGTGTGTGTGCATGTCCCTCAGCGTGTGTGGACGGCACTGTGTGTGTGTGTGTGTCCCTCAGCGTGTGTGGACGGCACTGTGTGTGTGTGTGTGTGTGTCCCTCAGCGTGTGTGGACGGCACTGTGTGTGTGTGTGTGTGTGTGTCCCTCAGCGTGTGTGGACGGCACTGTGTGTGTGTGTGTGTCCCTCAGCGTGTGTGGACAGCACTGTGTGTGTGTGTGTGTCCCTCAGCGTGTGTGGACAGCACTGTGTGTGTGTGTGTGTGTCCCTCAGCGTGTGGACGGCACTGTGTGTGTGTGTGTGTGTTACCAGCGTGTGTGGACGGCACTGTGTGTGTGTGTCCCTCAGCGTGTGTGGACGGCACTGTGTGTGTGTGTGTGTCCCTCAGCGTGTGTGGACAGCACTGTGTGTGTGTGTGTGTGTCCCTCAGCGTTGTGGACGGCACTGTGTGTGTGTGTGTGTGTTACCAGCGTGTGTGGACGGCACTGTGTGTGTGTGTCCCTCAGCGTGTGTGGACGGCACTGTGTGTGTGTGTGTGTCCCTCAGTGTGGACAGCACTGTGTGTGTGTGTGTGTGTCCCTCAGCGTGTGGACGGCACTGTGTGTGTGTGTGTGTGTTACCAGCGTGTGTGGACGGCACTGTGTGTGTGTGTGTGTTACCAGCGTGTGTGGACGGCACTGTGTGTGTGTGTGTGTGTCCCTCAGCGTGTGTGGACGGCACTGTGTGTGTGTGTGTGTGTGTCCCTCAGTGTGGACGGCACTGTGTGTGTGTGTGTGTGTCCCTCAGCGTGTGTGGATGGCACTGTGTGTGTGTGTGTGTGTGTGTCTCTCAGCATGTGTGGACGGCACTGTGTGTGTGTGTGTGTCCCTCAGCGTGTGTGGATGGCACTGTGTGTGTGTGTGTGTGTGTGTGTCTCTCAGCGTGTGTGGACGGCACTGTGTGTGTGTGTGTGTGTGTGTCCCTCAGCGTGTGTGGACGGCACTGTGTGTGTGTGTGTGTGTGTGTGTCCCTCAGCGTGTGTGGACGGCACTGTGTGTGTGTGTGTGTCCCTCAGCGTGTGTGGACGGCACTGTGTGTGTGTGTGTGTGTCCCTCAGCGTGTGTGGATGGCACTGTGTGTGTGTGTGTGTGTCCCTCAGCGTGTGTGGACGGCACTGTGTGTGTGTGTGTGTGTGTGTGTCCCTCAGCGTGTGTGGACGGCACTGTGTGTGTGTGTGTGTGTCCCTCAGTGTGGACGGCACTGTGTGTGTGTGTGTGTGTCCCTCAGCGTGTGTGGACGGCACTGTGTGTGTGTGTGTGTGTGTGTCCCTCAGTGTGGACGGCACTGTGTGTGTGTGTGTGTGTCCCTCAGCGTGTGTGGACGGCACTGTGTGTGTGTGTGTGTGTCCCTCAGTGTGGACGGCACTGTGTGTGTGTGTGTGTGTGTGTGTCCCTCAGCGTGTGTGGACGGCACTGTGTGTGTGTGTGTGTGTCCCTCAGTGTGGACGGCACTGTGTGTGTGTGTGTGTGTGTGTCCCTCAGCGTGTGTGGATGGCACTGTGTGTGTGTGTGTGTGTGTGTGTGTTTGTCCCTCAGCGTGTGTGGACGGCACTGTGTGTGTGTGTGTGTGTGTGTGTCCCTCAGCGTGTGTGGACATATTTAAATATCCCTCCTGCCTTGTTTCTTGCTTCCCCTCATCTACGTGTAATATTTTCTATTTCCCAAGCACCCCGGGGTGAACCCCAACACTCCCGGAGGAAGGAGGGAGAGGCTGTTGTGACCTCCCACGAGCAGGTGGGACCCGGCGTCCTTGTCCTTCTAATTCCGGAAGGTGTCACATTCCCCAGGCCTGAGGTCACGCTGGCCGGGGCCCCCGGCTGGCTTTGCAAGGTCCTGCGATGTGGGCGCTGGGGCTCCCCCCCCTTCTCTGCATCTTCCTTCCTCCCCGGCAGCCCCGGTGGAAAAGCATTTCCTCGTGGCCATCTCAGCGCTCCCTCGTCTCCGGTGTCCACCCGCCCCGGGCCTCTGTGCCAGGCCCCAGGGACTGACCGCCGTGCCCGGCCGGGGTGGCTAAATCGGGCGGGTGCATTCCTGCCGCCAACCCTGACTGTGGATTAATCCCCCGGCCGGGGCAGGAATGTGGCCACGGAATGCTGAGGCCAGCAGAGCTGCTGAGAGCCCGTCCCTGGCACCCACCCGGGCACAGCAGCTCCAGGGAGACATTTCCCAGGCTGGGAGGTCGGGGAGGGGTGGGGGGGGGTGGTAGGGACACAGCAAGGTGCACAGAGGAGGTTCAAAACCACCCCCCCCCAGGTCCCACCACTGACGAGGAGACGATGAGAAGACCCCACCAGAGCTCAGAGCCGCACATCTGACCCTGCTCTGCCCAGCAGCTGCGCCCCACATGTCACTGTCCCGGGGAACGGGCAGCACTGGGCGGACCAGCCCCCTGAACTGCACCCACAGTCCCACAGCGGCAGGTGTGTGTGTGTCACGTGGGATTTTCCTTAGAAACCTAAAGACGTTTGAGGCCGGGTACACCGGGTCACACCTGTAGGCACAGAACCTTGGGAGGCCAAGGCGGGAGGCCCGCTGGAGGTTGAGGCCAGGATTTTGAGACGGGGCAATATAGCAAGACCCCAACTATGCCATATTTTTTTTTTTTTTTGAGACACAGTCTCGCTCTGTCGCCCAGGCCGGAGTGCAATGGTGCGGTCTTGGCTCACTGCAACCTCTGCCTCCCGGGTTCAAGCGATTCTCCTGCCTCAGCCTCCCGAGTAGCTGTGATCACAGGCACCCCCACGACACCCAACTAATTTTTGTATTTTTAGTACAGACGGGGTTTCAGCATGTTGTCCAGGCTGGTCTCGAACTCCTGACCTCGTGATCCGCCCCCCCCCCCCCCAGCCTTAGTTAATTGTAAGCAGAGCTGGGCGTTAGGTTTCGTATTAAACAGCAAAACTCACCACACAGCAAACTCCAAATTACAGGATTTCATTTTTACTATTTTTGCTTTTATTTAATTACATTTCTCAAGAGCTACTTGGGAGGCTGACGCAGGAGAATCGGCTGAACCCAGAGGGTGGAGGCTGCGGGGAGTCAAGATCACGCCACTGCGGTCCAGCCTGGGCAGCACAGCAAGACCCCAACTGGAAAAAAATAAAAGTTTCATAGCAACAGTGAAAAGAGGTTGGACACAAGCCAGGAAAGGCCCTGAAATTTATATGACTAAACGGGTAAATCCAGTTAATAAAAAAAACGTTTTAGCCACAAGAAATACGTATATAAGCCCCATTTTTTTTTTTGGAGACAGGGTGTCACTGCAACCGCTGCCTCCCGGGTTCAAGGGATTCTCCTGCCTCAGCCTCCCGAGTAGCTGGGACTACAGGCACCCGCCGCCACACCCCGTTGATTTTTGCATTTTTATTAGAGGTTTCACCCTGTTGGCCGGGCTGGTCTCGAACTCCCGACCTCAGGTGATCCATCCGCCTCGACGTCCCAAAGTGCTGGGATCCCAGGCACGAGCCACTGTGCCTGGGCCAAGGAGAACCTCCTTCTCCAAAAAGAAAGAGAGAAAAAAAAAAATGGGGTTTGCCTTTGGAAACCCCAAAGGAAAGAGGTTTAAGGGAGTCCCTGTGTGGACAGGCCTTGCGGTCGTCGTGGAAAATGCACGAGGAAAAAAGCCACGTCTTCCACGGCACCAGGGAAGGACACGGCACGTTCAGGGAGCTCCCACCTATAAAACCATCCGATCGGCCGGGCACGGTGGCTCACGCCTGTCATCCCAGCACTTTGGGAGGCCGAGGCGGGTGGATCAGGAGGTCAGGAGTTCGAGACCATCCCGGTCAACGTGGTGAAATCCCATCTGTACTAAAAACACAAAAAATCAGCTGGGCTTGGTGGCACGTGCCTGTAGTCCCAGCTACTCGGGAGACTGAGGCAGGAGCATCGCTTGAACCCAGGAGTTTGAGGCGGGAGAATCCCAATGTCAGGAGTTCGACACCGTCCTGGCCAACATGGTGAAACCCCATCTCGCCGGGCACGGTGGCTCAAGCCTGTCATCCCAGCGCTTTGGGAGGCCGAGGCGGGTGGATCAGGAGGTCAAGAGATCGAGACCATCCTGGTCAACATGGTGAAATCCCATCTCTAGTAAAAATACAAAAATCAGGCCAGGCACAATGGCTCATGCCTGTAATCTCAGCACTTTGGGAGGCCGAGGCGGGTGGATCACGAGGTCAAGAGATCGAGACCATCCCCGTCAACATGGTGAAACCCCATCTCTACTAAAAATACAAAAATCAGCTGGGCGTGGTGGCGCGTGCCTGTAATCCCAGCTACCGGGGAGACTGAGGCAGGAGAATTGCCTGAACCCGGGAGGCGGAGGTTGCGGTGAGCCGAGATGGTGCCATTGCAGTCCAGCCTGGGTAACAAGAGCAAAACTCCATTTCAAAAAAAAAAATATATATATATATATATTAGGCAGGGCTGCTGGGAGTCCCCTGCAATGCCAGCTACTGGGGAGGCTGAGGCAGGAGAATCCCTTGAACCCTGGAGGCGGAGGCTGCAGGGAGCCAAGAGACACAGCCGACTGCTATTTCAGAAAGCCACGTCCGTCGAGCAACCCGGCCTTCGAACCCCGAACCCAGAGGACGCGTGGACTCTCTCCCAAGCCCACAAGAGCACGGTTCAAAACCAAACAGGCCAGCGAGCTCGGGCATCCCTCAGTGTCTTCCCTGTCACCACAAAACCTCAGCCATTCCTGCTTCCTCCAGCTGCCCTCCAAAAATAGTGGCACTTGGGCAGGCCCGGTATCAAGTGACGGGCGCAGAGCTTAGTCCCGCAGGGGCCGTCTGGGGGCTTTGCACGGGAGGCTTTTAGAGCGTAAAGGCCATGCACGGCGTCACCTGCCTCTTCCCCTTGTCCCTCGGCCAGGAAATCCCCTCCCACCGTCACCCACGAGGCGTCCCGGGACACAGAGTCCCTACGACCTCCTTTTTATTTAGTTATTTATTTTGTAAGGACAGGGTCCTGGTAGGTGGCCCAGGCTGGTCTCGAACTCTCGGCCTCCCACAGTGCCGGGACCGCAGGTGTGAACAGCCGTGCGCTCTTCCGTTTAAGGGCTGAGATTCACGTGTCATCCCGGCTGTCTGTGTCCTCTGAGCGCTTCCCTGTGTGTTTAGACCATTTTTCTTGTGTTTTTGGAGACGGAGTTTTGCTCTGTGGCCCAGGCTGGAGAGAGGGGGCCCGATCTCGGCTCACCGCGACCTCCGCCTCCCGGGTTCAAGGGATCCTCCTCCCTCAGCCTCCCGAGTAGCTGGGGCGCTGGGCTAATTTTGTGTATTTTAGCAGAGATGGGGTTTCTGTGTGTTGGTCTGGCCGGTCTTGAACTCCCAACCTCAGGTGATGCTCCTGCCTCGGCCTCCCAAAGTGCTGGGATTATAGGCCTGAGCCACCGTGCCTGGCCCTAATTTTAATTCTCAATCTTTATTTTTATTTATTTTTGGAGACAGAGTCTCGCTCTATCCCCCCCAGGCTGGAGTTCAGCGGCCCGACCTCAGCTCACGGCAACCTCCGCCTCCCGGGTTCAAGTGATTCTTCTGCCTCAGCCTCCTGAGGAGCTGGGACTACAGGTCCCAGCCTCTCTAAAAATACAAAAGTCGGCCACGCACCACTACGCCCGGCTAATTTTGGTATTTTTTGTAGAGACGGGGTCTCACCATGTTGGCCAGGCTGGTCTCGAACTCCCGACATCAGGGGATCCGCCCGCGTCAGCCTCCCAAAGTGCTGGGACCACAGGCAGGGAACATCACACCTGGATAATATTTTATTTTTTGTAGAGACGGGAATTTGGGACTGAGGCATTTTTCAACTCAGGATGAGTTTACGAGGATGTAACCCCATCATAATTTGAGCAGTAACTGTAATATCATAAATATAATGAATATTGTTTCATATTATGTAAATGTATTGTATATATGTGCATGTATAATAATGTATATATAATATGCACCGTATTATAATAATGTGCATATATATAACATATGTGCATTCTAGATATTCACGTGCATATATAATGTATATATAATATGCACCATATTAAAATAATGTGCTCATATATAACGCAGATGCCTCATAGATATAAATGTGCATATATAATAATGTATACATAAAATGCACCATGCTAATGTGCACATATATAATGCAGATGCCTCAGAGATATACATGTGCACGTATAATAATGTATATATAAAATGCACCATGCTAATGTGCACATATACAATGCAGATGCCTCATAGATATAAATGTGCATATATAATAATGTATATATAAAATGCACCATGCTAATGTGCACATATATAATGCAGATGCCTCAGAGATATACATGTGCACGTATAATAATGTATATATAATATGCAACGTATTATAATAATATGCATATATATAACATATGGACATTCTAAATATTCACGTGCATATATATGGTATATATAATATGCACCATATTAAAATGTGCTCATATATAATGCAGATGCCTCATAGATATATATGTCCATGTATAATAATGTATATATAATATTCATTGTATTATAATATGTGCATATATACAACATATGGGCACTATAGATATTCATGTGCATACATAATGTATATATAATGTGCTCATATATAATGCAGATCCCTTATAGACATAAATCTGCATATATAATGTATATAAATATTCACTGTATTATAATGTGCACATATATAACATAGGCACATTATAGATATACATGTGCATATATAATGTATATATAATATGCACCGTATTATAATAATATGCATATATATAACATATGTGCATTATAGATACACATGTGCATATATAATGTATATATAATATGCACTGTATTATAATAATGTGCATATATATAACATATGTGCATTATAGATATACATGTGCATATATAATGTATATATAATATGCACTGTATTATAATAATGTGCATATATATAACATGTGCATTGTAGATATACATGTGCATATATAATGTATATATAATATGCACTGTATTATAATGTGCATATATATAACATGTGCATTATAGATATACATGTGCATATATAATGTATATATAATATGCACTGTATTATAATAATGTGCATATATATAACATATGTGCATTATATACATGTACATATATAATGTATATATAATATGCACCGTATTATAATAATGTGCATATATATAACGTGCATTATAGATATACATGTGCATATATAATGTATATATATGCACTGTATTATAATAATGTGCATATATATAACATATGTGCATTACATACATGTGCATATATAATGTATATATAATATGCACTGTATTATAATAATGTGCATATATATAACATGTGCATTATAGATACACATGTGCATATATAATGTATATATAATATGCACTGTATTATAATAATGTGCATATATATAACATATGTGCATTACATACATGTGCATATATAATGTATATATAATACGCACTGTATAATAATGTGCATATATATAACATGTGCATTATAGATATACATGTGCATATATAATGTATATATAATATGCACTGTATTATAATAATGTGCATATATATAACGTGCATTATAGATATACATGTGCATATATAATGTACATATAATCTGCACCGTATTATAATAATGTGCATATATATAACATATGTGCATTATAGATATACATGTGCATATATAATGTATATATAATATGCACTGTATTATAATAATGTGCATATATATAACATGTGCATTATAGATACACATGTGCATATATAATGTATATATAATATCACTGTATTATAATGTGCACATATGGAATGCAGACATATATACATGTACATATAAAATGCATATATGTACCATGGTATAATGTGCATATATACAATGTATGCTCATTACATAGACATATGCATGTTTGTATAATATGCAACGTGTTATCTATGTGCATATGTATATAATGCAGTCTTAACATGTAATGTTTAATATATAACAGCATTACATCAAGCATGTACTGTCCTATATTGCTACAATACGTATACACGTTATATATGTGACATGTGTATGTACCTTATAAAACAGATCGCTAATAGATTAAATATTTCAAACTGCATATT